AAGCTGGATTGGAAGAAAATGAGCATGGTTTTAAAATTGGAGGAAGAAACATCAATAACCTGCACTATGCTCATGACACCAGCCTGATAGCAGAAAATGCAAAGGATCTGCAAGCCCTAGTAATAATTCAAGCACATTGAAAAAATGGGACTAAAACTAAATATAAAGAACAAACTAATGACGGCAGGTAGAATAACCAGCCTTAGAACTGGCAATAAAGATATTGAAGTGGTAGATAGCTTCTGCCTTTTAGGATTAACCATCAACAGTAAAGGAATAAGCTATCAAGAAATATGCCGCAGACTAACACTTGGTAGAGCAGCAATGATGGTCTTGGAAAAGATATTCAAATGCTATGATGTGTCTATACCTACAAAAGTCAGAATCATGCAAGCCCTGGTATTTCCTGTGACACTCTATGGAAGTGAAAGTTGGACTTTCAAAAAGCAGAATAGAAAGAATATTGACCCCTTGGATCTTTGGTGTTGGAAATTCCTGAGAATACTATGGACAGCTAAGAAAACAAACAAATGAATCATTGAACAAATCAACCCAGAGTTCTCACTTGAGGACAAATGACTAGGCTCACATTATCCTACTTTGGCCCATTATGTGAAGACCTAGCCCTCTGGAAAAGGTTGTAATGCTGGGGAAGATGGAAGGAAAAAGAAAAGGATGACCAGCAGCAAGGTGGATGGACTCAGTTACAGTGGTGATGGGTACACCATTACAAGACCTGAAAGACCAGGTTAGGGACAGATGGTTATGGAGGAAATCTATTTATGTGGTCACTAAGAGTCATCACCAATTTGATGGCACATAATCAATAAATCTTCCCCATTAGTTATACACATACTCACTGAGCTCTCATGTGTTGGATTCCTTTATAAACAAATATGCCCAATGCAATCATCCTAATGGGGAGAGAAAATGCAGCCCTAGGCATGAGTAGCATGGATAAAGGTACATCCACTTATTGTCTTTGCATCTTTCCAGTATGCTGTGACATATCCAGAATTACATTGAAGGCTATTTTCCATTAGAAACACTGACTCAGTTGAGTAATGGGTCATTTCCCTCACTTGCCTCTGACTCTCCTCAAACCAGACCCTCTGACTTCTCTGTAGAGGTTCAGTCATCAACTTTTGCAGAAGTTTCAAACTCGACCAAAGGATAGGGGTTAGCTGGCTTTAAAGATCCCCTTTGTTGCAAATGTTTATTCTTTTTATTTATAGGGGAGGTAAGGGTGGGTGGGGAATCACCAGAGAAGCAAACACAACGTGAGCTGAAAATGTGGAGAATTGACTGGCTGACATTCTTTGTGCTCTTGGTTGGCTAGGAAGGAAGCAATAATGTTCACAGTATATTGAGGTTTGCAGTAATATACAGCAGATAGCTATTGGACAATTTCAGACTGTTCTGGAGGGATTGGGGCGTTGAAATGGTGGCAGTATGAAAGTGCTGTATCAATAAACATGGCCTTCGTTCTTCCCATCTTTTGAAGAACTGTCCAGAGCTTCCTGTCTTTCAAAAATGTTTAAAATCTATTATTATTAGTCCTGTTTCAGGACTGAAAGGAAAGAAATACACTTTTTCTGATACATTAAACAAGCTGATACATTAATTCACCATTGAATACCAACTCTGTGCGCAGGAAAACTACTTAGTTCATTGAAATGTATTTTATAACCCATATGTAATAATAGTAACCAGGGTAAAAATGCCTAAAAGCTTCTTGTTTGCTTTCAGTACTTCACTAGGAGGAAGTCATTTTATTATTTAAGATTAGCCTTCTAAAAATAATTGGAGGGTCTCCCATAAAAATAAATTACATCCCAACAACAGTTTTCTCAGAATGTAAAATCTCACCTTTTGTACTTCAAGTACGTTTTACTTCGTTTTTTAAATGTCCTCATTATTCCTTTATTCTTCTATTTGTATCTAATCTGTACTTTTCCCTTAATAATGAAAATATTTCATTATATTTTGAGTTGCAGTTTTTATACTGAAGACCATGTCTTTAGGGCTGTCAATAATGCTGCAAAAATGCAGTAGTAATACTGGCGCTGAGGCTCAAAACAGGTTCTATGGGTTTCTCCTTGACTGCAGCCCTCAGCAATTTTATGTTTTCTTGAATGTACAATTGATATGGTTGGTGCTATTTGTAAAAATGTATTGGGCACCCATACCTAGGCACACTTGGTTGGAATGATAAATGAAATAGTACAGCTTTACAGAAATAGTCTACATTGGTGTTTTTCGAACTTGGCAACTTTAAGATGTGTAGAGTTGAAGTCCACACATCTTAAAGTTGTCGAGTTTGAAAAACACTGGTCTACATAATAAAAACCTAATTTGGCTAAGCGCTCGCTACTGATGCAGCTCCTTCTCTACAGACATTCTTATTCAGTAGAAATAGACATATCTTCCAATTACTGTTTTTCTCCGTTTCTAATTTTTACATTGGAAAATAAAAACCCTACCCCTAACTGTAATCTTAATTGCAGGCAGAACTGAGGGTTTTGAAAATCTTTATAGTAGAAATGTATCTATTTTTATGTGCTTTTCTCCAAACATACACATTTTGATTGCCCTTTTATGTAATGTGCACAATTTCTGCCAGCAAATTTTCCTAATAATGAATTTTTCAAATGCAAATCTTAAAAGACAATTTAACTGTGACTCAGTATGAAAATGTGAAATTGGAAATACATTTTCCCTCCCCACTTTCCTGTCACACATGTTATGCTTCTCCATCTTTGCTTCTTTTTCTTCTCTCTTGAGGCTCCTACCTGAGGCTTGGAGCTTCTTAGCTTTCACTTCAGTCCCACGTGCTGAATACTTGCCTTCTGGGGTCTTCTGCCACCATTTGCATTCTAATGTTTTCTACTCTCACAAAAAAAAAGATGACTTTGTGAAATATTTTATCATACTAACTTTATATGCTAATACTTTTGTATGAGCGCAGCCTCCTTATATAGAGATCACTTATGGCACTTTCTATACTCAAGGAAAGTCTAATATTTAGTAGCTTTCTTTTACAATGCTATACATATTCAAGATCCCTTTACCAGGAAGGAGATGGAAGACAAAAGCACACATGTAGGTAAACATAACACAGTAAGTTATGTTTACCTACATGTAACTAACCTTATTAAGTAACTAACCCTATTCAAAGCCAGTTTGCAGTTTACAAAATTCCTATATCGATATTATTCATGTGTGAGAATTATTATGGAACCTTTATAGAGATTTTTTATATATTAGCAGTGGAATTTATTTATTTATTTATTTATTTATTTATTTATTTATTTATTAGATTTTTCAACCGCTCATCTCCCCCCAATGGGGGAACTCTGGGTGATTCACAACAAACATTA